TTCAAATTATTTATGTCTGCAATCGTAATTGAACGTAGAAATGTACATCAAATGTATCATTAACTCCTTTGCATTACACGATAAACAATTTAGAAAAATACATATGCGTCATTATGTTTTTTAATTACCCGAAAGCAATGCGCTCAAAATAATACGTGACGTTGATGACGTCAAACTGAAGTATTTTGTATTTTTGATAGGTTGTTTTGATTTATTATAACTTTTTTGTCTAAACAGATATCTGACTCAATCTTGCATCGTTTGTTAGAAATATAGCTTAATTTTGATATATCAAGTTTTGAATATTTTTTGCCGATGGGCCAAAATCAACCCAAAACATACCTAGCCCTTTCTGCCCAACAAAACAAAATTGGGGTAAAATACTCTCAAAAACTTATCTGTAGCTGTGCATCAGATGACAAACTGGTATGTTGAATAATTCAAATTATGTAAATGTGTTTAAATTGTGATAACTTTGCAGCAATTTAAGTGTGGCCGTTAAACGTTATCTTTAATAATTCAATGCTTAAAATGATCTTCAACAATGTTTTTGTTTCAATTTTAAGAAATTTTCTAAAACTTTGTTATTAAATTGATGTATTTAGTTGGACATTCAATAAAGAAAGCATCAGATTATTTATCCAGTTGCCCTCACAGAGTTCAATCCTCGGGCAAAGTGGTTGCTACAATACCTATTAAACAATTCATGGTACAAAATTTGGCCAATATATTAATAATATAGTCATTTTTCTTTTGTGGTATTTATTTAAAACATTTCATTCTGTATTTACCCATTTCTTTATTAAGTATTATTACAGTTTCAGATGGCATTTTTCAGACAGAAGTTTGTGTTGTAATGATGGTGATCTCTTCTATCAGTAACAGAATGAGGTAAAAGCAATATTTGATTTGAAAATGCATGAATTTTTACAAAATACTGTTTCGCTCCTGCATTTGATAGTGACACCTGTAACTGTGCCCCTTCTTATGTTGACAGCAACTATCATATATGACTGCTCTCTATGACTGTGTGTTGTTTTTATGTAGACAGTTATTAGTCCCCTATCGGTTTAACCGGAGGGGACTTTAGGTTTACCGTCCGTCTGTCTGTCAGTCCGTCCGTCCGTCCACAAAACTGGATCCCCCCCCCCCCGATAACGCAAAAAGTACTGAAAATATTTTTATGAAACTTGATATATGGATAGATGGCAGTATGGAGATTATGCACGTCTTTTTCTTTTCTTCCTATGTTGAAAATTCTGGTTGCTATGGCAACAAATAGTCTGAAAATATTGCAAATTTAACACATAAACTGGATCCAGTGATAACTCAAAAAGTACTGAAAATATTTTTATGAAACTTAAAATATGGGTAGATGGCAGTCTGCAGATTATGCACATCTTTTTCTTTTCTTCCTATGTTGAAAATTCTGGTTGCTATGGCAACAAATAGCCTGGATTTCAAGATTTCTGATTTAAATTTTTCAGCTTTTTCACTATAAGTTCTTTATTTCTTAAGGTGTTTACTTCAAACTTTAAATATAAGTTTCTGGTCATCAACCACATCATATGTGACAAGGTTTACAACTCTAGCACAAAAATTATCAGTATTACCTCCCTTGAACTTAGAATTTTTATGAAAAAAAATGTTGTCTTTTTTAAATAACTTCTTTATTTCCTAATGTATCTACTTCAAACTTCATATATATGTTTCTTATTATCACTCAACATTTTTGAGAAGGTTAAATGCTCTAGCAAGACTATTTCCAGAATTATGTCCCCCTTGAACTTAGATTTTTTTCGAGAAATTGGTATTTTTTACTCCAACTTCTTCATTCCTTATAGGATTTACTTTAAAATCCCACATCGTAATAATATGACTATAAACATAGTTTCCTTACTAACACATTACTGTGAAATAGACAAACTTAGAACTCAAAAGATTTAAGTTAATTCATTCATGTCATTCATTCACTGGTAAAATTGAAATCAGAATGTTGCTGGGGTTCTAACCGGTAGGGGACTTATGAATTGCTTGCAATACTATGATAATTGCTTGTTTTCTTTCGTCAAAACTTATAATAAGAATAATCACATTAAAATATTACATTTTCTTAGTGACAATATAAGTTAACAAATTATTATCATAGGATAAAGAACTATCCCTTGCTACGTAATAGCAGTAGACGTTATAGTCCAACATGGCCGACATGGAAAAGTGCATCACAATTTATCATAAATATACAATGTTTGCAATTAAATTCTGATGGATTATTATGCAGATTTACATATTAATTGTGGCTGCATCATATAAAACCAAACTTTAACATCTTGAGTGTGAAATAAAGGAATTAACTATTTTGACAGAAGTCACAAACACAGATTAAACACGCAGGATTCTACCAGCACATTTATTCCAGAGATCTGTAGTTACAGCTAACCGAGGTTGAACTATTATCATGTATTGTATTATATCTTACATCTGACATAATATGTCTGAAGGTTTTCCAGCTTACATACATCGGTCGAATGTTAAATACGTTCCCATAATTTTTTTGTTAGTACATCAGTTTGTCGAAAATGTCATTTCTTCTTAATCTTAAGAAATATTGTCGTAATAAATACATTACATTCAAATGAGTAATACTCACAGTACACTAGGGCTGTCATTGATGGAAAATTTTGCATTGATATTTCAAGAGACAAATATCGACAATATATCGACTAAGACAGTAGATACAATGAAAAACATTTAAATATGTGTTATAAATTGGGATCATGGTGTTATGCATGCTTTTATTAGACATTTCAAATACTACAAACTAACAGAAAGTTTTTTTTTCCTATTATTTCTTTTTACTGGCATTTGAAAACTGAGTTTATATAGTTACATGTAGAGTAAGCTGATGTTCACTTGGAAAAAAGTTATTTATTTCACATGGTATTTTCTTTGTATTGTAACTTAACACGGCAAATAAACAATATTATTATAACAAACAAATTGGTAACAACACCTCTAATTTTGTATCAATTAACCTTAATTGCCTTTATCACAATCACAAGGTGTTGAAAACATGTGACGCCAACTGTCACTAATTTAGAACATGTTAACCCACAACTTTTGTTGTCTTATTGTGTTTTACCGAGATGTGATTTACACTATATTTCTGCAGAAGTGACCAGCGATCAGGTTCGAGTGTTCCAGCAATCTGTGTTCTAGTGATCCGAGGTACAACAATATATAATACATAGAAAGTTGGCAAAGACTGGGCAATGAGGTCAAGCCAAGGGAGGTATTCAAGCTATCCAAGGACAAGCTGACAAAGTTCAACTGTAAATATGTAATTTAGGTAATTTGCAAAAATGTTATACTATGTTGTAAATCTTCATGATAGTGTTTAAGTTACAATATATAATTTCAAGGAAGTGGATACAGTTTTCATGTTTTAAGAAAGATTAACAGAGTTTTTCATATCTGAAATAAATTTATCAGTATAAAGGTAGATTCATAACTGAAACAAAAGCTGTTTATTTACAGTAATTTTCTGAAAGGTACTATTGCTATCATTTAAAGGAACTCCACTTAGGTTTATAAGCTTAAAAACATAAAATTTTATTTCTTCACATAGATAAACATGAGCACTTGAAACAGAAATATTAATAAAATATAACCAAGAAATACACAAGAAATACATTGAAAATGATGTTTGTACTAATTCTCAGTTCAATTCGAATTTTGGGTCATTTTTCACTATTATAATAATTATTCTAGAAAAATGGAGCAAGCTAAAGATCTGAAATTTCGCACACAAGTTATTAGTTTAGATCTACATCAAATGGAGTATTAATCTCAAAAAAATATTTCCAGTCCCATCATGTCAAAAAACCTCAGTGGAGTCCCTTTAATAAGTAAGTCATATATTATATGTTTTTCCTTGTAGCAGCTGTAATTAAGAAGCATTACTTAATTTATAATGGAAAGTTCAGTGCTGCTTACCTGCAACAAAGTGACATGGTGAGCTTTTGTGATCGCTTTTCGTCCGGCGTCCTTGCTCCGTCCGGTGTCCGTCCGTAAACTTTTACTTTAAACAACATCTCCTCATAAACTGCTCTACCAATTTTATCCAAACTTCACAAGAATGTACCTTGGGTAGTGAACTTTAAAATCTTTTCAAAGAATTTAGTTCCATGCAGAAGTCTGGTTGCCATGGCAACCGAAAGAAAAAACTTAAAAATCTTCTTTAAAAAAACAGAAAGAGCTAGAGCTAATATATTTGGCATGAAACATCATCTAGTCAAAGTCTACCAAGTTTGTTCAAATAAAAGCCCTGAGGTCAAAATTGGCCCCGCCCCAGGGGCGTCATTGTTTTTCCCTTTATGTATATAGTAAAACTTAAAAAGTCTTCTTTGAAAAATCCCAAAGAGCTAGAGCTAAGATATTTAGCATGAAACATCTTCTAATTGGTGTCTACCAAGTTTGTTCAATCCAATTTCAAATAATGGCCCTGGGGTTAAAATTGGCCCGTCCCAGGGTCATTGATTTTCCTTATGTGTATAGTTTTGCAAATGACTATGAAAAAGACTCCATTAAAGGAATATTCAGGCAAAATAAAGACAAAAATATTAAAATGATCTTATGTACTCAAATCACACTAAAATGACTTTTCTTGAAGTTTCTATATATGTGTATATTGAAAAACTTTGTGGAAAAATGAGATTTTGACCTTAATTAAGATATATTCTGTATGTTATCTTTATCATTTTGACTTTTTACAATAGTTTGTCTGTAATGGTAATGTTCTTTCAATAATAATACTGTATGACTCTTGTTTATTAATTGAAACGTTGAAGTGATAGATATATTGTTGCAAAATTGAAATAAACTTAATAATAAATATGTGAATATAAATGTGCTCACTCAACACTGTTAATGAAAATTTATTATTAGCTGGGGACAATGCTTTTTCTTAAATGGTCAGATTGGTTTAAAATGATTATTACATTAGACAGGCCACGTTACGAAGTATCAAGTGAGTTGCTATGGAAAAGAATATTTATAACATACTGGAATATTTCAGTTATTTCATGAAGGAAAGCTGACTGGTACCAAAATTGCCCATTTGAAAGCAAAGTACACAGAGTTTTTACATGAAATACTTAAAAAGTAAGTAAGTAACTAAATTAATTTGTCACACTTTTGCTGTTTCTGAACATTCATTTTAGCAGATAATCTACAATGTACAAATTGTAAATTATTTTTTCCATAAACAAACAGCTATTAATATGTAACATGTTTTATTTTAACCATCTATACAGAAAAATTGCATTAATTGTTTGTTACCTTAATTTGAAAAAATTGTTTACCCACAGATTGCCTGTAAGATATGAAATTATCATCCGTTAAATCCATTTCAATATTACATTTTTGAATTTCTTCTTCATATAAACAATGAAATGAATTAAATTTCAGCAATATTGATACTGAATTTATCTTTTAACTGAATTTGATATGGTTTTCAAAGAATTAATGTTTAATGTATAATCCTGATTTCAATGCCTTATTTTTTCAGTACCCGGGAGAATGAGACTTGTTTATTGTCTCAGACAAAAGAATGCTCTGCTGAACTTGATCGTCAATGTATAGAGTTAGAGCAAGCTGATAATTTTACCAATGGTTCAAACACAGAGGTTTCAAAGATGAGACAACAACTGTTAAAGTATAACAATGACTTGAAACAAGCACATGAAAGGCAGTACGAGCTAGAATATCAAATAGACAATAGGTAACTGTTCTTTCTCTTTGATGTCATTTATTCTGTAATGCTTTTATGTGGCTGTTTTCTTTTGTTTGGCTAAAAAGAACAATAGAGAGAACAAGAGAGTCTAAGCCACATTATTACTCTACTGTTAGAATGTCCATCTGTCCGGTAGCAATTTGGTTTCCGGAGCATAACTTAAGTTCCATTTGGCCCAAAATATTCAAACTACATAAGATGATTATCCATATTGAGTTGAAGACCCATATTGATTTTTGGGTCACAAGGTCAAAGGTCAAGGTTACTTTACATTATTACCTTAAATCTGAAAACAGTTTCCGTTCCATTTGGCCCACAGTGTTAAAACTTCATGGGATGATTGTCCATATCGGGTAGAAGACCCCTATTGATTTTGGGATCACAAGATCAAAGGTCAAGGTTACTATTACCTTTAAACTGAAAAACAGTTTCCAGAGCATAACTTAAGTTCCATTTGGCCAACAATATTCAAACTTCCTTGGAGGATTGTTATTTGAAGGAGGTAATACTTTATTTAATTCCAATGTCTTACAAATGCTTCATCTTTACTGAAAAAGAAAATCACTTCCGGGCATATAATGCTCCGCCTAACGATGCTCTTGTTTACTTTGTGTTATTGTCTTTTTTTAAACATTTATTTGTTAGCATCCATAATCATTTCTAATTTACTCTCACATGTATTTGTAATTCTTTATTGTTGTTTTGTTATTTTGACTCCTTTAAAATTGTAATAATTTTGATATATTATAACTCTACAGAGGAGAAGAAATTAATGGAATGAGAGTACTCTAGAATGCCAAAAGCTGGAAAGAAATTTAATCATTGGCTCCAAGTAAATACTCATTTGATATGTGACAATATGAAGTAATACAATTTTACAACACATTTGTATAGTTTACAGGAACTCTGCCTGTGCAAATGTGTCTTAAAGCAAAATTATTTGATAATATATTTGAAATAGTAATATTTTTTTTAGCTTGTCTATTGAATAACTTAACTTGAGCAATTGTGCTCACCCAGGTGCCTGCATCTATCTTGTCGTGGCTGTCACACTTAGGTTAAATTTTTATGTGCAAGTTTGTATCTTCAAAACAATTGAAGGGTTGTTGTTTTTGTAAAAAAATTCCATCTAAGTAATTATATACTATTTTGTCAATATTGTCACAGGGCTGTTTTTTTTTTTTTTTTTTTTTTTAACAAACCAGCTGCCGCTATGCGAAACTATTTAGCCAAAAGTAAAAGTATGCCAAAAATACCAAAATGAAAAATAGCTGGCTGTGTAAGGACAGGATACAGTATGAATATATAGATACTAGTAAATATCAGTTCAAGTTTACAAAGATATATAGGGCTCAAAGGATGTTAATATTAATCTCACCAATACCAATTGTTGTGAAATGCTACATGCTTTACTGTGAGTCTGTTACTGTGAATGGCAGCTGACAAAATCAATGAATTCACTCAGTTCTGGAAAAAAATAATGTAAACAATTACACAATGTACATGTATGATAAAAATGTAAACAAACAGTAACTAAAGTATAAATGAAGAGTTTCACTACATCCTAATTCAGTAAAAAGACTATATGAAGATGAAATATATAACTACATGATTAACTGTTATAAAATGTGTACTAGAAAAACAAAAGATTATTGGTAAATCACAATCTGTTAAATGTCAAGAGTCTACTTTCACTTTCAATTCCAACGATGATAATTCCTGATGTAAACAAAGTGCACTATAATTATTTGAAGACGCGTTAAATATGATGATATCTAGTTGAATTAAACCGGTAAAATTAATGTAATCCAAATAAATGAAGAGTTAGATCGATCTATATCAAAATTGAATAAAAACAAATCACTCCATGCTACTTAGGGAATTCCATGTGTATATACGCAGTGACGTAGCAGAAAAATGTGTAGCGCTAGCTATGGCGTTGATTGGCTGCTCTGAGGAAGTCCTGTGACGTCACGGGAAACACCTCGTTTCGTCCACAACGGCTTCGCCCCAAAAACACAAAAGTCACACTGGCCACCAATTTGTTACCTTCTATAATCGTCGAAGGGTTTTTATAAAGTTCTCTCTTGTGGTTGAGACTGTAAAAACACACAGAGTCAGCAAAATAAATAAATAAACAAGAAAGTCAGAAGTTTCGTTCTCACGTATACAACTGTAATTCAAATCTTCAGTGCATTTCATAAATATACAAAACCGTCAAAATCATGAAACAAACGATGAATGAGAAAATGAAGAATGAATATATATCAATACACATATATAAGTAAATTACCTGTAAAACACACAGAGACAGCAAAATAAATAAATAAACAAGAAAATCAGAAGTTTCGTTCTCACGTATACAACTGTAATTCAAATCTGCCGTGCGCATGCTTGGCGGTAAATCATGAGCGGAAAAATGAGGCCCGTCACCAGTTACTATAGTTAGTGTATGATATATGATGAATGATATAATGAAGCTATGGGAGTAAATATGAGATGAAGAGTGGATGGATAAGGAAGAATATATTCATAAGAAATGCACTATATATCATATAGGATATAATAATGATAAAGTATATCGAGTATATATAATGACAAATGACCCTGTGACATAACAATTTCATCAATGGTGAAATTTTGTCAACAGTTTTACAGTCACATAAAAATCAGTTATGCGTTATATTTATTTCACAATAATAACAATTTTGTTTTGAGTTGTATTATTCTTTTTATTTCTCTTATACATTATCATTCAGCAAAAGTATATCAATACTTTTATACTTTTATTCTGAATAAATAAAATTGAATGAATGAATGAAATACTTAATTGATAAATTAATATACACTGTGATATTTGGTTCCGGAAAAAGATCTACTGTACATTATAGATTTAAGGACTTTCACAAAGATTGTATTATGCAAATATATTCTGTATTTATTTCTGTGTTAAGTTTTTTTTGTATTTTATAGGAAACAGAGTGTTGATGTCTGGAATATTCTACTGTTGAGAAGTTTAATATATATTACTTTTATAAAAAAAGACTTACCTATACAGATCAATTGGTAAATATAAATGTTAAATACTCTTAGAATGAAACTGATGCATAATTTTCCTCAATTTAAGTCAGGGGATTTTTTTCCCCAAAATAGCTGGAGCAAGGCACTCTGACTGTATGTATTTATTTTATATGTTTTACATCGACAACAGTTTTCAAAAATATTGAAGGTATTCACTTGAAACTCAATAGATATATATTTAAGATCTCTAAGTCATTAGAGATTACTGTCCAAAGTACGGATTATGACTGATTTATGGCAATTTATCAACTGAGAAAATTCCTGGTAAAAGTGTTGCATGATTTTAACTTCTTTCAAACAGCAAAACCCACAGATGGTTTAGTAAACAAGTTTCACTACCATTAAAATATATAGTACCAATTTCTTCATTTTTCCAAGTTCATGTAAGTCAATTTACAAAATGAACATGATAGTTCTATCAGATAAATCAAATGCTCGCGATTATTGAAATAATTTATTATTTCCATTACAATTTATTTGTGAATGTCAGTAATGTATGTGATTGTGTTGAAATAAGATGGTACAAATAATTTGTTTTTATCCAGCATTTACAATGGTAGGATACTACGTCATCGCGCACCTGCTGAATGCTCCCACTTGGACCATTTTTTCGTCGATTCGAAGGTAAAATACAATTTTATTATAAGAAAACGTATGAGTATTAAAAAATCATGTAGCGCACCAAAGAATGGCTATAGTACTTGAGATAATTGTAAAAAAAGTTTATAGATTTATTGCCTGGTTTAGGCCTGAAAACGGGATAAGTGTTTTTCTCTGAATGCTCCCACTCGGACTTTTCCCACAACCTTTAAGATATCAGGTTGAAAACCTTCTTAAAATCATTTTTAACGTACAGGAGCATAAACCGAGTCATGTTTACACATTTTTCTAGATTGGTTGTAAATATTTCTATTCAAAAATCAGTTTTTCTTATTTATTTTTATAAAAATGTAAAATGCTCCCACTCGGACTCGATTTCAGAAATGCTCCCACTCGGACCCAAATATATATAAATTTTCAAAGCACAATTCTGTGATAAACTTTTATCTTTTGTTTCAATATATTTATATATTTCAAGCTCATATATTCATTTAGTCTGTTAGAATTAAATGAAACATTTTTTGTGGAAAATTAGATAACTAATTTTTAAATATCTATAGTTGTGACATATTGTTTCGTTAACAATCTTATAGGTAAATCATCATGAAGGATCAATATGAAGGATCAATGATCGACCTAAAATTATAAACAAACTAGGTTCTGTTGAAGCAATTCATCGTCAAATTGAATCGTCAAAATTATAAACAAACTGATTATATATTTTAAGAATCAATTAACGTTTTGTTTTGCAGATATTTAGTTATGTTTGTTTGCGACCAGTGCGGAAAAAGATACAAAACACCTGGCGGTGTAAGGAAGCACGTTGCAGGTCACCTTGGAACAGCCACTTACACTTGTGGAGAATGTGGAAGGTTATTTCATTGCCGGAAAGACCATGAACAACATATGCTGCGCCATGGCGAAGCAAAAACCTTTGTTTGTCAAACATGTGGTACGTCATAATTCTTATTATCTATTTAAAAGTTTTATTTTGCTTAAGAAATTAGTATTTGTATACATATGTATTATAGTCTCTCTTTATTCGTAGAAAACGCTAAATATGAATAAAACAATATTCTTTAGCATTTAATAATTAAAATTCTTCCACACAAAAACAACAAACGCGCACTTTTTAACATGGATTTTAAAAATTACAATATTGGTTTGTTTATTCAGGAAAATCGTTCAAAACCAAGAATGACTTGGATAGCCACAGGAGGCGGGAAAGTACTGGGCAGACCCATGAATGCGATGTTTGTGGGAAACGATTCACATCTTCACGTGATCTAGAGGAGCATTCACGGAAACACAGTGGTGACTTCCCTGAAATATGTAGTGTATGTAGCAAGAGATACCGCCATAGGGCTAGTCTAAGGAGACATTTGAAAACACATTCAAATTAATAAGCACGTTGTTATTTTATGATGTCTCCCAGCGATACAGTTGAAAGGGGTATATTGAAATGTCGTTGTCCGTCCGGATCCATGCATATTTTCTCTTTTCTTTAAAATTGTCAGGAATTCTCACGTGTATTTGAATTAGGGAATGAAAATAATGACCAACCATTTTTTGTGCCCCCACTTTAAAGTCATGAAACTTTACAGGAATGTTGATCAGCATGTGTAGTTGTGCACCTGGGTATTTGCGTCTGGATATTTTTAGTATTTTCAGAGTTATTGCCCTTGACTTAGTAAAATTTTGCAATTTTCAACTTGTGTCGCATGTAACTCAAAAAGTATTTGACCTAGGTTCATGAAACTTTACAGGAATGTTGATCAGCATGTGTAGTTGTGCACCTGGGTATTTTCGTCTTGATATTTTTAGTATTTTCAGAGTTATTGCCCTTGACTTAGTAAAAATTTTGCAATTTTCAACTTGTGTCGCATGTAACTCAAAAAGTATTTGACCTAGAGTCATGAAACTTTACAGGAATGTTGATCAGCATGTGTTGTTGTGCACCTGGGTATTTTTGTCTTGATATTTTTAGTATTTTCAGAGTTATTGCACTTGACTTAGTAAATTTTGCAATTTTCAACTTGTGTCGCATGTAATTCAAAAAGTATTTGACATAGAGTCATGAAACTTTACAGGAATGTTGATCAGCATGTACATTTGTGCACCAGGTATCTTCGTTTTGATTTATTTAGTATTTTTAGAGTTATTGCCCTTGACTTAGAAATTTTTTTGCAATTTTCAACTTGTGTCGCAAGTTACTCAAAAAGGATTTGACATAGAGTCATTAAACCTTATGGGCAGGTTGCTCAGCATATTTAGATTTGCACCTGGGGTTTCGCTTGTGGATTTATCCAGTATTTGTAGAGTTATTTCCCTTGACTTAGTAAAAGGATTGAAAGAACAGTGGCGCAGTGGGGGCACCCGTGTCCTATGGACACATTTCTAGTTATTGATGTTTTTTCTTGCTTTATTGAACTAATGTCCTATACTCGTATAACTAGAAAACAGTTATTTATAAAGTCGAAATATAAGCACATGTTACCTCCTTTTTAATGAGTTACACACAAATAGTTTTCATAAAAATGTGAGCACAAGTATAATATTATGAATAACTGTAATGATATACATAAAGTTACCATCACATGAAATGTATTGTACATCGGGAGATTTGTTTGTTCTACCAAATTATTGGATAACTGTGATTTTAACCGATTTTTATGATTCTGTCTATTATCCATCGCCGAAAAGTCGGGGGATTTATTAAGGAGTATTCTTCGTCCGTTCTTAAGTACAAGTAGCAGAGCATAAAAACCAGAAGTGTTCACGTAATGTTTTTTGTTGTTTTTTATGAGAGACGTAATGATTGTCTATAATGTTTGCATAATTTTTGTCTAGGCTATATTTTAAAACGTTTCATTACATTTCAAGGTAAATGGCTGCATAACTCGGAATTATATGGGTTACTTCCCCTTTGTAATGTGTTTCCTCTTTAACGGCGGGGGATTTTACTGTCTGTGACAGCTTCTGGTATAATTGTTATTATTTTACTGTGATTTGATTACCAAGATATGGTAAATACTGTGATAAACAAATAACTGTGATTATTGTTTTCTGATTAATTTTATTTTGTTATTTAAAGTAATAAAACGTACAGGATATGGTAAAAGTTGTGATAAAAATAACTGTGATTATTGTTTTTCGATTTATTTTCTTTTGTTATTTTAAGTAATAAAAATCGAAAACATACCAAGATATGGTAAAAGTGTTGATACAAATCACTGTGATTATTGTTTTCATATTTTTTATAATGTTTTATGTGCCATGGAATGGCAGCAAATTGATTTTTATGATAAAATATGTACATGATATTCTTAAATAAACTTTTCCAATCAATTGATAGATGTTGACTACTTCATGTTCTTAAATTTACAATTTCGATGTTTTAACAACTCATATCACAAATCAACAAACAAGTAAATCATTGCGTTTTAAATTATGAAGAAATACTTAATTCGGCAAATGTTGTCCATGCAGTATTTTAAAGCAACAAATACAATTTTCCGTGTATGTATCTCTTATTAATTATGACATTCATGAGATCCTATATTCCTAGTTTTTTTGTTGGTAATAATTTGGAATCGTCCCTTCGGGCGCGATACCAACGCACGCCAAGTGAACCTTTTTGAAGAGCATTCCTGTTGGTAGAAACTGTGCCATGGCGCCTTGTCCCGGCCCGACGGCGTCGTTCTTCCGAATCAAAGAAGTGATCTCTGTAATAATAAAGAAAGAGTTAATGCCGCGATACATATTAAGTATAGTCAAAAATGCATGCATCGCAAACGTGTTTTAATGATCTACGATGACGTAGCACGAGAATAATTACTCTGCCATCGAAATCTATTATTCTGTTTTTGTTAAAAGTGATAAATATTATTTCTATTCTAAATATATGCATAACGTATCGTTGAATGTGAAATACTTAATATTCAAACGAAATACTTTATTGCAAGCACAAAAATCTATTGTATTATGTCTTGCCTTTGTGTCATTAATATACGCCATCAAGTTCTCAACTTTTTCGTTTTATTGAAACGTAACACGTGAAAGCATGGTTTTTCATATTATAACGATGATTTTACAATAAAAAAAATCAACGTGTGAGTTATTGACATGAGTAAATACATTAAAAAAACCTAAACAAATTAAGTAAATGAGGAAACAAAAATTTTGGTTACATAGTAGACATAACACAAAGAATAATTAATAAGTATCATGTCCTTGAAAACCAGGCAGAAGAATATGAATTTATAAGCAAATATTTCATCATTTCATATTATTATTGACTAACTTTAGTTTAATGTGACGGATATGAAACCTGTCGCTGTCCAAAGACTCTGTAGTGTAATCATTCAATGGCAGGTCCTCCAAATTCATATCACTTGACACCGGATCGTAAGCCTTCACTTTCGTCGACGTCCGGTACACAAAGGTTCTGAAATATGATGAAAATCTAAATATATTACAAAATCTTCACGATTTTTCTGGTGCTCAATACATTGTACAAAGGTGGTATATTGCGCTGGTAAAAAGTAAGATATCAATGATATTCAATACATAAAATCTTATATCAATGTTTTCATACCTTGATGTGTCAAGTCGGGCTTGTAACTGTTCTGTAGTTTTCCCAATATACTTGGAGAATTCGTCACATGATATTACTCCGTGGCCAGCTCGATCTTGGTGAGTCATCTCAGAGAAGAAGGTTTCTCCCATCATTGAACTAAATGCTCGACTGTTATATGTTCCACTCTTACACAACGAATAAAGAAGAAGTTTAGCGTCTATATTTGCCAACAATGCTTCAAATAATTGTGTCGGCCAGCCTTTTACATACTGTCCGGGAGGTGGAAATTCTCCAAAATTAATGAGACCGAGAAGTCTTCGACGAAGCTTAAACCTCATTGACATTCTCTCTGTTGCGGAAATCCCAGCTTCATCTTCAGCACGCCACCAGTCTAGGATATCGGCACATAATGAGGCAGCACGAAAATCACCATTTTCTTGCATTGCGTTTTGAACAGCTTGGCTAAAGTGAGTATTTGCCATACTCATCGACATCGGATCAACTATTTCTTCCACCATAGCTGGCGTCAACAATGACTTGCCTTGCCGAGCAACTTTTAACCATGGCTCATTTGTAAAACCTTCAATGCCACCTTTACAGGTTTTTCGTCTGGTTCTTGTAAGAAGGTGTGTGGAGTCGATTGATCTCACCTCCAGTTGATGACGTGTTAAACTATATTCTGGTACGTAGAAAAAGAAATCTGGTTTTTCAAAACCAGTGACATCAATGCCGTCTGTAGGTGAGTTCTTCTGCCATTGTTCTAAGCGATCTGGCCATATGTACTCGGCAAATGATATGTTAAGGACATTTTTTGGGACTGATTTCAACGCCGATGCGGCAAGGATAGAAAGCGGTTTCACGTCCTTTGGTTTATTTCGTGAGGCTTTGATATGCGTATTTTCTTTTATTTCACCATTTAGACTAAGGTGTTTTGTGAGTTCAGATAATTTGACAGCTTTTGTCGCATACTCCTTAATGATAATGTTTTTACACTGCTTCAGATATCGAACAACAACTCGTAAATCTACATCCCGTGCAATTTTTAAAGTGTTGTCACATGACAACATTTTCTGAACAGTTTCAGCGTTTTCCGAGTCCCATTTTTTTGTTTTGTTGGCATTCTTGTCCGTTTGAAGCATTCCTAGAATCCGGTCGTAATCCTGTCCATGTAAATTTATCCTATCAGTCTCTTCATTGTTTGTATTTTCAGATATTTCCGTTTGTTCCTTGCAGAGGTTTTCAATCATTTCAAACGCATGTTCTTCGGTGTTTTCATTGTCATTTAAATCGTCTACTTGATCAATAACATCTATCAATGCATTGGCCCAAATTTCTTCATCTGTGTTGCAATTTACGATTTCTTCAACTACAAAATGGTCATAAGTGCACGACAACAATTCTGCATTGTTTCCACCGGCTTCAACAACCTCTGTTGGTAGAACGTCTAGTAAAGAAGTGTCTTCTTCTAAAATCTCTTTGTCGTTTGTATTTGTCCTTTTTGGTTTCTTTGTCCATCCTTTTGTTGGTGTCTTTGGTAACCTTGGAAGTGCGCTGACGACTTCTAAAGAACCATTCACTTTGTGCCAATTGTGGTTTGATTTTAATACTTTTAAGTTCTTTTTTCAATTGATGACTTTGACATCTTTTGCACCTCAACCCAGACGTCTTTCTGCAATTGAAGAACAGTTAGAGGTTTTCCAGTGCATGTCCTTACACCAATGTTATGCCATTGTCCGTCAAACACATGCTGGTACATGAATACCTACTGATTTACATCATCCAATACTTTTTCCATAA